GCGCGCTTTTAATAATTTTACCTTCTTAAATACGGGTGTGCATTTCATGCGACCCAAATCCAAATCCCAAAATGTTGAATAAGAGGTGTCGAGGATCCGGGTGCATTTCATGTGACGTGATCCAAAAACACGCTCTTAAACAGCGTTCACTTTCATAAAAAACTAATTAAAAGCGGTTAAACAATTTTTTTTAAAATTGCACCATAGGATGACATGTATTAAAATCAGACCTTAGCCAAATATAGCAGTTGAGCGACCGTGCTAGAACCACGGAACTCGGGAGTGCCTAATCCCTTCTCCCGGGTTAACAGAATTCCTTACCCGGATTTCTGGTTCGCGACTGTTAAACAGAGTCAAACCCTTTCCTCGATTCGAGATTCAAACCGGTAACTTGGGACACCATAAATCTCCCAAGTGGCGACTCTGAACCTCTTAATAAACGAATCCCGTTTCGATTGTCCTTTAATTGGAAAAACTCCCTTTATTATACCGTTCACGGGGTGTAGTAGCGAAAAAAGGAGGTGTGACGCCTTCATGGCCGGCCTTTTCAGTATGGAGCCGAAGGCGAGGGTTTCCAGCAGGACCCCTTCTCTGGCTTTTCCTTTAAGTGACAAGGGGGGTGAGGTAAGGAGTAGTATAAGAGTTGTTCGGTCATCGATAAGCCTCTCCTTATTCATTCTATAGGGCGGGGCTGCGGACCAACAATCCAGCAAAAGGACTGAAAAGCTCCTTTATTAAACCTTCCCCTTTTAGTAATAAGAAGGTAAGCATCAAAGCCCAGAAAAACCAACCTATACAAAGAGCTCTTTTCAGCCCCTACTCCTAACAAGTGAAAGTTGCTGGCACCCACCATATCTTGCTTCGGGGCCGATCTCTTGTATCGAAGCAAACAAATTCAATGATTTTCTATATTCTATTTATTTCTTTTTATTGTTGAGTTTTTTCCACCACAAACAGATTTGCTGCATGGATTGGATAGATTCCCCTGATCTCAACATTCAAGCACGAATCCCTTGAGCGCTTCGGCGGCGGATAGCAGCATGGGCAAAGCACTCTGCTGCGGCGAGCAGCCGGTTCTTATTGCATTCACCAAGATAGTCTTGCTCGCTCCTGAACTCTGCGGCGAGTTCAGCCACCACCTCCGGGTCTGAGCTCTGCTCGAGCGTAGTCAGCCAGCTTCGTGACTTTGCTTAGCTTCCAGCGTTGCAAAGGGATAACCTTTCACTATCTAGGCGCCCTCGAAGGAGGGGTCCCACGGACTTCTTCCCCGAAGGTCAAGTCGTAGTTCCTGTCCCTGGGAGAAGTGGAGGGAGTTAGGAGGATGGAGCGCCCTTTGCGGCGGCTTCGCCTTCCAGCCGTCAATAAAATCGAGCTAATATGTGATCATGACAGTACACTGATGCATAGGTCTTCTTTACTTTACGGCCTTTTGATTATGATGCATCATGAACGTGCCAATATGTGATCGGGGTGAGCGGTGGTTAGATATAGGGGCGGCTTCGCCGGCTTGGATTGGAAGGAAGGGCTTCGCTTTCCGATCGCTTTTTGAGGCCGGTTTGGATGAGCGTGGGCAAGTTCGGGATTCACTATCGCTTTCCGCTTGGAGCGGCTCACCCCCTTGTCACTTAAAGGGCGAAGTCACCGAGGCGAGTCTAAAGGCCAAAGAGTCATCTTTGAAGGCTACTATGCATCCTTATTCATAGTAGAGTGTAAGGTAGGTTTGGGTATAGCAGGACTTGAACCTGCGACCATTAGGTTAAAAGCCCAATGCTCTACCAACTGAGCTATACACCCCAAAAAAGATGTAGTAGTAAATAAGGATTGGTACGGAAAAGAGGCCGGCCCCCCTTCTTCTCATCATATTAAAGGAGCGCGGCTCTGTATGAGGCTCGTACTGCAGAGCAAGCGGAAGAAAACGTAAGGTCGCGCGTTAGCACTCCTGCAAGAAAACGGATGCGCTAAGGCGCAACTTCGCGCAGCTGCTACGCCCTTGCTTCTTGCCCCTTATTTCAAACTCAAGGAAAGCCTTGATCGATATGAGAAAGATGCGCTCAAGCGCCCAACCTAGTAAAGGGGCTTGGGCTCGAAAGCCGGCCTTACTCAACAAGCACCTTTCTTAGTAAGGTTGCTTGTTTCCACTCATTGAAGATTCTATCTACAAAAGAAGGTCAACGGGGGATACTCAAATAGCTCTCACTGACACCAGAGAAGGTGAGGTCGTCTTTCTTTCCAGCCGCCATACGGTTCCGTCTTAAAGCCTTAAGGAGAAGGTGAGGAGCAGTTATCTATGTAATTACGTTGTTGGCCGTTGTTTCGGTCGAGCACTCTCTTTTCTTTGTCCAATTCCGTGTTACCAAACAAGACTGACTTCTTACCAACCCGCGAAGGGTTGTGAGGCTGGACCAGGTACGAAGAATGAATCTATATCTGTGCACGGAAGTTGCTGGCCGGCGGCCGCTGAACTGTTCGAGCGCAATGCAGTGGTGTTGGTTCCGATTCGATAAAGGTAGAATGCCTGGTTGAAGGTCCAGTACAGTAGGTAGCAGGCGTGTTCGTTTTAGCTCCCGAGCAAGAACGATAAATAGGGGATGCACCATCCTTACTACTACGTACGTTTTCCTTGACTTGACAGATTCATTCAATTGAACCCACACTCAAAGGAGGACCACAAGCTCGGGGCTCGAAGAAACAGAAAGTTTCAGCATGTTGAAACTTCTTGGGGTTAGCAGTGAAAGAAAGAGCTCGGCATTCATTTCTTCATGAATATTCATAGCTGAATCTACTAAAAGAGGGACCAGCCTCGTCGTGGTGATTAGAGGACACCTCTGATCGTTCACCTCTAATGTGACACGTTCCCTCCCAGTTAATGATCAACGGGATCAGTCGGCTAGAGAGCGGGGCTATTCTTCTTCCGGGGAGACAAAGTCGTCCCTTCTACTGACCGAACCCTCAGTTCGGGGGCCTTCGTCAACATGTTACGAAGCTCCAGTCTTCGGTGGGTCACCATTACTTGACTTAGAAAGGCGAACATCTGGGCAAGGGAAAGCGCAGTGCGCCTGGTGCAAATGGCTTTCTTTTTTCATGATATACCAATCAGAATGGAGGGTCCTACCTACGTACATGATTGATAGAATCACTACGTAGGGGGGGGCGGTCAACTTGATGCGGGAGAGGCATGAGTGCAGTTCGATCTTGTGGTGTATTCGTTTGTAGTGAGTAGGGCCTCTTTCTCGTTGATCAGTTCGCCTCCGCTCTATTGAAAAGTAGGAATTCCTACGGCGGTTTTGTCAACGAACGCGTCTCGGGCCGGATTGACTAACCTAACCCACCCTTAAGGAGGCTTTTCCATAGTTGGGTGTCCGCTTTAGTGTGATTTACGAAGGCTAGGCTAGGTTTGGTAATATCCAAAACAAATGAAAAGAGGTCGGGGTCGATAGGTGGCAGTTGGCAAGGAACTTGATCCCCCCCAAAAAAAGGGGGAAGCCGCGGTCGAACTCTTATTCTGGAAATAAGTCGGGGCCCTTTTACCAAGTCTACCAGATAGAAGATGATAGAGGGCCAACTCTCGTTGCCTTGCACAAGACGGTGCCCTTTCACTTCGAGTTCCTTCCTTCGTAGTCAAATCTGATGATACGCTTTGGCGATGTTACCTACCAAATAAAAGGCCTGCTAGGTGATCGAAATCGCTCAGGTCAGTGAGGACTCACTCACTCACCTACTCCTTATCTATTTAAGACTTTCTTCTATCTACTTAATTTAAAAGGCGACCCGCCGCGCCGGGCTATAAGATAAGATACAGTTCTTGTACTACTTGATTGACTGGTAAGAAAGAGCTTCCGTAAGAACTGGAAGACTCTTGTATGTACGGTAACCCTCTCTTCCGCTACTGGTGGACTGTTGCACAGAAAGGGCGACAGAAGCAACCTTTCTTAGCGCGCTTTTCAAGCGCTTAGCTTCTGCTAGTGGCGGGGCGGCAAGGCCATGTTGTTCAGTTGGAAGCCTAAGCCAAGAAGGTACGAACGAAGTGACGGGCCCCTTTAGAAGATAGGGGGCGGCTTTCTTGTGGTAGTAATTGCGAACATCTCTCCTCTTCTCTTAGCGTGCACAGTTTGCTTACATGCCGCCTTAGGCACATCTCTCTTTCTTAGTTTCACGCTGGACTAATGATAATGAATGAAAGTCAGTCTTTTAATAAACGTATATAAGCAGTTGTTTAGTGTATAAGCAATTCTTTAGTGGTTGCACCGAAAGTACGGTGGAGGTTGGTTGAAGATGATGTTACGCGGCGTTCAGAACCAGTCTTGAAGTGAATGAATTAGAAAGAAGTAAGGAAATGAGACGACTCTTTCTTGAACTATATCATAAACAGATCTTCCCCTCCACACCAATCACGAGTTTTTCTCTATTCCTCTCGTATATCGTCGTAACGCCCTTAATGCTAGGTTTTGAAAAAGACTTTTCATGTCATTCCCATTTAGGTCCGATTCGGATCCCTCCGTTGTTTCCTTTTCCTTCCGCACCTTTTCCTCGAAATGAGAAAGAAGATGGTACACTTGAATTGTATTATTTAAGTGCTTATTGCTTGCCAAAAATCCTACTTCTACAATTGGTAGGTCACCGGGTTATTCAAATAAGTCGTGTTTTCCGTGGTTTTCCCATGTTACAACTTCCGTACCAATTCGGTCGATCCGGAATGGATCGGTTAAACATTCCATTAGGGAGCCTGGTCTTGACTCTTCTGTGTGGTATTCATTCTCGTTCGGCTCTTGGAATCACATCCAGCAGTGGTTGGAACAGCTTGCAAAATCCAACCACTTCACCTACTTCATTGCCCCCAACCGTTTCTCGTACCTCTATTGAAACAGAATGGTTTCATGTTCTTTCATCGATTGGTTATTCCTCTCCGTTCGTATCTCTTTTTCCAATTTCGGTCTCGATTAGTTCACAAGATTGAATGGCCAATTCTCCTCCGAACCCTCGATTCGATTATTTTCCAAGAATGTTGAGCCGGGTATGTAAGCCATGTATCTGGGAGGAACTTAAATAAAAGAAGGGCTTTCGGTTTTTTGCACCCCGTTTTGGTCTTGCAGCTATTTTTAAAATATATATATAAGAATCCCTTTTTTAGAAGAAAGATTATATATAGGTCCAATCTCTAGTGGTGGTGGAACCAACCAAGATGTATGTCGTCCGACCCGACCTCAACTCTTTCTTCCCGACCTATTTGACTCTCTGACCGTAGTTATTTAGGTGGTATTCCGAGATCAAATTCCTCCCAGGAACACACGTAACAAAGATATGAACGGGGTAAATAGAAATGGAAAAGAGATGTTTCTATTTCATCCAAATTAGAAGCTTTTTCTACATCCATATGATCTACTAAAGTAGATCGGTATTGACCATATAATAAAAGCAGATCTTGGTCCATGGAGTCCCAAGAAGGTAAGAACTCCAACCTGTCCGATTCTTCTTCGGCCAAATACGATATACAAGTGGGACCTGCACTATGAGCAAGCTGTGCGAAAAACCGCTTCTTTTTTCCGGTTCCGAAACAACTTGGGCGAAATAGGGTTCTACCGGGAAACCATGGATTTTTGAGTTTTCGCCATTGGTTACTGGTTGAGCCACTGGAATGGAATGAGATAAGAATCCCTGGAGATCTTTCCTCTCCACTTACTCGTAACAGGCTTTTCTTCTGTAGAACACTTCTTCCGAATGGCATAATTGTCCGACACTACGTTCCTCGATCTTCAAAGAAAACTGACTCCTCCTACTCCTCCTTCTCCTTTAGGATAGGATCCTCCTTGGTCCTTCTTTCACTAATGGTCTCACCATTTTCTAGTAGTAGTAGTTCGCGCGAGGGACTCTCCTTTCTATCGCTTGCCCTTGCCTTTCACTCTCATTTGGTCTCTTTCTTCTATAAAATAAAGCGAAGCAAAGCGCATGGCAAAGAAGCAGCCAGCTGACTGCCCCCTTCCACTCGGCCTTTCTTCACTGTGTGAATAAGGTCTTAGTCTGTATGGGCATTCTGGGCAGGTCGCAATAAGTCGCTAGTCGAAGGTTTAGACCAATCGCAATTCATCACCATCTTGCCCGCTTCCAATTGATGACTGGCTATTATATAAGTGTTGACCTAAGCCCCTGCGCAGGGGCTCGGCTCTCGAACCGTACGTGAGCTGTCTCGTATGGCTCTTCCTAAGAACTTGAAGCCCACTCTCTCTAAATAGAAAAAAATGCATTTACAAGACAAAAAAGACTTTTTCAAAAAGCCTTCGCCCTCCTATTCAACGGGGCTATTAGAGAAGCAGCTTCGTTCCTTGACTTCTTTTCTCAGTCAAGCTTCCTTGTTCCTTAGTGTAGTCTCGGTCCATAGTTGTTGACTCCGTTCCTTATAGCCTAGTCTATATCCACAGCTGACGTGACTCCGTACCGACGCCTTTCCCTTTGTATAGTATACGGCTAAGTGACTTCGTAACCTCAACGTACTTTTTTTCTTACTGTAGCATAGGCCTTCGTCGGGCTTTCGTCCCTTCGCCTATAGACGGCGGCTTGGCTTCGCTATCGCTCATGACTTGGTATAGAGCCGTGTAGTCATCGGTTTTACCACCAGAATGCCTATGAGATAGTGGTCGGCCTTTCGAATGCCTTCTTGCTGACTTTTCTGAGAAGCCCTTTACGACTATACTATAAAGGACAGGGGGTGTTCACCTTTGAAAACTTAGCTACTTAAGTCCTTCTCAGAAAGTCAAAGTAAAGGCGAACGGCATTCTGTTCTACAGCTACAACACTGAATATTTCTTATTAATATTAAACATCTTAATAGTAGAACTACTTTCGTACTACTAAACAAGGAAACCTTCGGTTCCCTTTGTTTGAATAAACGCCGCTTATTTTAGTTTACATTCAAACCAAAGTAAACCAAGCCTAAGCGGTCACGACATCTTGTTGATATTGATTGAGGAGTTTGATGGAGTTTAGCTGACTGAATCCATAAACCTAGAAAGTCGCTGTCACTGGTACTTTTTTATTTAAATTTGACTCTATAGGTAGGTATCGGCGGGGCTTGCGTAATGTAGTTGTAGTTAAGGCTGAAGTAGCGCTTTTTATTTTAGAAGATCTACTGAAGTACCAAAGGCGAACGGGGCTCCCAGGCCGGGACGTCTGGCAGAATGCTTGGCCTCCTGCGCTGGAAGCGAGACCCGAAGGGTGAGCTTATGGCGGTTAGCTTCTAGCACTAAATAATAGGCATTAGGCATTCTGAGCTGAAAGGAGGCAAGCAAATGAAGGGAGGCATTACGGGCCGACTACAAGAAAAGCAAAGCTTCGTAGACTCGGTCAAGTCGCTTATAGAATGCCGACGACTATTTTCCACTTAATTAATAAGTGAAGGGGAGAGGGAAGCGAGGCTTAGCGAGCTTTATAAGGCCGACCACTACATAAGCCGCTGGCGGAGAAAGCTCGAAGAGCTTCCCTTCATTCATTACTAAGCCAAGGTCCCAGGTCTCCGAGTCAGCCCGCGCTTTTTCGAAGAATCCTGCACCCATGGGCATACGGCCTGGCAGGCCTTCCCTTTCCGCCGGAGCTTCATGGGCGTTGCCCCGTTCCCCAATCAGATGTTTGGATGTGAGCTATACTCCGCGAGGNTACCCCTTTTTTTTAGAAGAAAAGATTATATATAGGTCCAATCTCTAGTGGTGGTGGAACCAACCAAGATGTATGTCGTCCGACCCGACCTCAACTCTTTCTTCCCGACCTATTTGACTCTCTGACCGTAGTTATTTAGGTGGTATTCCGAGATCAAATTCCTCCCAGGAACACACGTAACAAAGATATGAACGGGGTAAATAGAAATGGAAAAGAGATGTTTCTATTTCATCCAAATTAGAAGCTTTTTCTACATCCATATGATCTACTAAAGTAGATCGGTATTGACCATATAATAAAAGCAGATCTTGGTCCATGGAGTCCCAAGAAGGTAAGAACTCCAACCTGTCCGATGCTTCTTCGGCCAAATACGATATACAAGTGGGACCTGCACTATGAGCAAGCTGTGCGAAAAACCGCTTCTTTTTTTCGGTTCCGAAACAACTTGGGCGAAATAGGGTTCTACCGGTAAACCATGGATTTTTGAGTTTCGCCATTGGTTACTGGTTGAGCCACTGGAATGGAATGAGATAAGAATCCCTGGAGATCTTTCCTCTCCACTTACTCGTAACAGGCTTTTCTTTTGTAGAAGACTTCTTCCGAATGGCATAATTGTCCGACACTACGTTCCTCGATCTTCAAAGAAAACTGACTCCTCCTACTCCTCCTTCTCCTTTAGGATAGGATCCTCCTTGGTCCTTCTTTCACTAATGGTCTCACCATTTTTCTTGGGAGACTAATCTAATTTTTCTGTAGCAAAACCCTCTGAGAAATTAAAAATAAAAAGCATTTTATCTTCTTTCCCAGATCCCACGGTGTGGGATAATACTAGCTATTAGGGGTGTTCATGGTTCGGTTTTTCCCTTAAAAGAAACCAAACCAAGTAAGTCGGTTTTTCAAATATTAGAACCAAACCAAACCAATTAAGTGAGTTTTCTCGATTCGGTTTATGTCGGGTTTTGTCGATATTTCATTTTTTTTTTGTTTATTTGTCGGTTTTTCCTTAAATATAAGACATACTCTACCAAACACATATTCCGCCGATCACATTTTCAACGTAACACTATCAAATCAATTGCCCTTTGAGAAATCTATTATTTACCAAGATATATTGATGATAATTGAATCAAATAGTGATGAATAATTTAAGGACTCAATTAAAAATATATTATTTTTAACACGAAATGGATTCTTACACTTGTAGACATGTAAAAATTATTAAATTTAGTCCATACAAAATTTGGAGTAAATTCTAAATTGCTTTGGGTCGAATAATTAATTTGGACTTCACAAATTAATAAGTCCATTTTTAATTTCAAGCCCAATGTCCATTTCATCTTAAGGCCCTGGCTCATGCCATGTGTCAAGTGACATGGCATGTCCAGTCAACTTAAAGCCAACAAGATGACGCCACGTGTTAAATGATGTGGCAATCCCAGTCGAAAATAGTGACCAATCAAGAGTTGCCAAGTGTCTAAAATGACATGTCTTGGCCAATCACAAGCAAGCTTATTACGTAGCTTATGTGATAAGATTGATGACTCACATGAACCAATCAGAATCAAGCAAGAGAGTTCACATGTAGGTGGACTGTCCATCCTCTACCATTATAAATAGAGGGGTTACATAACTCTCTGCAGGACATTCAGAGTTGGAGAAGAACACTCCGCAATTGGTGAAGGCATCCACAAACAGAGAGATCAATCATCAAGTGCTTAGTTCTTCGACAAAGGAGTGATCAACGGAGTTCTTCCCGGAGATCAACTCATAACAACAAAGTGCTGCTCGACGTTCTTGGCGATTAAATACATCACAAGGAGGTCCGCATCATCCTACATTCGAGAAAGACACTTCTCAATCCCTCGAATCTCGGAGAATTTTAGAGAGGAGAATCAAGGGATACATAAAATTGTACTCACAATTATTTATCAATAAAATCACTTTTTCTTCTTATTATTTTTGTTGCAGTTTATTTTTCGTATTACAAAAATTTGTTGCGAACAAATTGGCACGTCCGGTGGGACCAATTCTGCTCTTCATCTCTCCTTCTTGCAAGTTGAAAACTACAAACTTTAGATCTACTGCTACAATGGCCTTCCGCAAGTGTGACGTTTCATGCAAAGATGCTACTGCTGCTGCGTCTGCTGAGCTAAGTCATGTTGGCCCAATCAGTCGAAGCAAGTTCAAAGCTAGTGGCTTGGATGGAACCGAATACTTCGCCTCCTTGAAGGTGGCAAAGAAGAGCAGATCTAACATGACGTCTGCAAACGCAATCTTTGGGGGCAACACCCCATTCTTGTTGTTTGACGAATTTTCTCGAACAGCCTCCAACCTTGGGGAATTTGGGGATTTGGCGGATTCTCCAGTTTCAACGAAAGTCAACGCCTTAATGGCTGACGCTACTAACGTGGATGAGAAGTTTGCAATGATGGAACAGACTATTGAAGTCTTGAAGAAATCTGTTGAAGACAAAGACCTTCAAATCGCTCAACTGATGAACAAATTGGAGGCCTATGCACCTAGAGAGTCAAGCCACGTCCCTCTTCGTTCACCTGCCTTCACCTCGCCAAAAACGGCTATTGAGGAATCACTTGCCAAGTTCAACATTCAAAAGGAAAAGCAATCCACTTCAGTTGCAGCGTTATCTGTCCAACAATTGCAAGACATGATAACAAACACCATCAGAGCTCAATATGGCGGACCATCGCAAAGTTCGTTGTACTACTCTAACCCTTATACTAAGAGGATTGACTGTCTAAGCATGCCAACCAATTATCAACCACCAAAGCTGCATCAATTTGATGGCAAAGGGAACCCAAGGCAACATATTGCCCACTTTGTCGAGACTTGTAGCAATGCTGGAACGCATGGTGACCTTTTGGTAAAACAATTTGTTCGTTCTCTGAAAGGGAACGCACTTGACTGGTATATTGACTTGGAGCCCAAGTCCATTGATAGCTGGGAGCAACTTGAGAAAGAGTTCCTCAATCGATTTTACAGTATTCGGAGAACTATAAGCATGATAGAGTTGACAGGCACTAAGCAAAGGAAGGGCGAGCCCGTGGTGGATTACATTAATCGTTGGAGGGCGTTAAGTTTAGACTGCAAAGATCGCCTTTCAGAAATATCTGTTGTGGAGATGTGCATTCAAGGAATGTACTGGGGCCTTTTGTACATCTTACAAGGGA